CAACAAATAAATACTAATTAGTTACAAAAATTCAGACTGGAATAGCTTTAAAAAGAGTTCCGAAGGGTTCAAGAGCAGTACTTAGTTTAATGCTTTAAAGGCATTTTAAGGAATTTTAGGCCACATAGTCTAAAGATTTTAAGGGGTTAAATAATAAAAGGGTGTCCTGCAACATTTGACTCAAAAGGGTCTGTGTCTTTTGACTTACTCTGAATTTTATACTGAAAGTCACAAGGAAGCATTTAAAACCCATCTGTCTGTAAAGGGTAAACTATTTCCGTCCCTTTTTTGTTTTTTATTTCTGCACAAGACTACATTTGATTCAAGCAACCACACTGAGGAATCTATTAAAAACTCCCAATAAATCTTGAGGTTTAGGATGACACGCCACGTTTAGAAAATAAAAAGTCTTGACATGATAACTCAGTCACAGCTCGTGAACCTGCCTGAGGATGCCTGCAGTCCGAGCAGACCGCATTTATTTTCGTCCTGTGATTGGAAAAAAGCTGCCAAATGCTGAGTGTTCAATCTGGAACACCAGATCAAAAGTAAATTCTACTGAAACAGCTTCGGTGGGTTTTATGGTTCCATTGGCTACATCACAGACTGCAGAGAGCAAAATAAATAAAAAAATGCTGTGAAAAATGTTCCGATGAAGCCCCCTGTGTAGGAGGCAGAGAGAGAGGGTTATGTCATCATCTAGCTGGAATATAAACGATGCTATGTGTTGGTTTTATTTTTGAATAAGTTGACCTACAGGTTATTCAAAACCTGGATCAAACATGTCTAAGATACAATCAGCAGTGGTTCATCGAAAACAAAATAAATAAATTAAAAATACAATTTTAAGTGTTGCAAGCTGACAGAAAATTCAAACAAACAGCTCAGATTGACTGTGGTCTGTTAAATAAAAACTACATGAAAGAACTTACTGGAATTCAAGGCTACAATCAGGACTAAGAGGCATAAAAATATATCTTCAAGGATCTTTTTGTCCCTGAATTTTAATAATGTTCATCCTTACATGAACCTTTACATACAATATATTTAAATAAATCAACTCTTTTAGGATTTTAACATTATTTATAGTCAAAAAGCACTGTCTTGTTAAATTTCTCTTTCTTTAGATTTGAGACTGAGAATATCTTTGAAGCAAAGTGAGTTCACCCAGTTTTATATCACTTAAAGTCTGCACCAGCAAATAAATAAATAAATAAAT